GTTATAGCGGAAGACAATAAGAGTCCGTATCTTAGTGTCGCAGCGTGGCACCTCTGAAACCACAATGAATGATGTGCCTTCATTTCTGCCCTTTGAAAGGTGCAGACTGCAGAGACGGACGGCGACAAACTGCACCTGGCCCCACCACAGCCCTCCAAACAGTTCCTCATCTCACCCCCTGCGTCGCCTCCTGTGGGCTGGCAGCCCATCACTGATGCCACGCCCGTCCTCAACTACGACCTCCTCTATGCGGTGGCCAAACTAGGACCAGGTAAGCCCCGGGCACTCTTTGAGGGTAAACGTTCGCCAGCGACCAAGGAAAGCCAAACAAGACGAGCCACCTTGAAATCCCAAGTTTGTGAGAATGTCTGTCTATCTAAGGGTGTGTACTGCTGTTCTGTGGGCCCGGAGAGGGACGGATGGAGGGGTACGCAGCCCCTGACAGTACACCTGTTTAAAAGCAATCCGGGAACCCGTACAAAAGTGATAGCAGGCCACGCAACATCTGTATCACGGCGCAAGGTTATTTCACGATCCAAACTTGCTACCTAATTCTTCCTGGATTTCTTTTGCGACCCCAAGCAAAGATGTTTGCGTAAAGCTGGCACGACACGCCGGACCCGCAGCAGGAGGCTTCTGCTGCACAGTGCTGGTTTGCTGCTTCCTCCGGGTTGGTACTCACTCAAGAGCTCTCCGCTACCATGCCACCTGCCTGCCAAAGGGAAGCCTCCTGGTTTCCAAAAAGTCGGTCACCTTTCATTTGAGAGGCAGGGAGTGGTGTGGTCCCTGCGGTCTGAAGCTGGCTCACTCATGTCCACTGCTGCGTAGTTGTCCCTCGTGTGCACATGCCACTCTGCTCACCCACTCTTTTCTTGGTGGCTCCTTAGACTGAGATGGCTTCCTTGTTTTGGCAACAACAGGCAGAACTGACCTTCACCCCTGGCAGCTAGCTCCAAAACTTTCTTTAGGTTTGTATCCCCACAAGTGAGCCTGTTCTCCGTTTCAGCAGAGGATGCCTGACCTCCGACGTGCATTTCCTACACTGTATCAGGCAGGAAGCAGCAGCAGTTCAGTAGCCGAATGTTTGCCTTCCATGAGGGCATCCCCTGTTCCATCTGCAGCCCATGCCCTCTCTGTGCAGCTCTCCCCTGTCAGTGGAAGCTGGTGTGTTCCTGTGTTGCCGGACAGGTTTCCCTGGGGTCTTCTCATGGAGACTAGGAAGAAAGGCCGCGTGACCTAGTACTGAAAACTCGCCTTTAACCCTGTGGCGCACCTCGGGTCGGGGGACAACTGGACAGTAACAACCACATTCACAGAGGACACAGTGGGGACTGGAGAGGCTGAAACCAGGTCACAGCTTGCAGACTGAAAGGTAAATAAAGGATATAATGTCTGCTCTGTCTATTAACTTAAAACAAAAAACCAAACCCTGCCTGCCCTGGAGTCCGTTCTGACTGGCTAGGAGAGTGGAGAACAGTCCCTGCCTTTGCCCTCTTTGGGTTCCTGAGACTAAATCTTTGCAGGAGTAGAAAGCCCCATCTTCTCCTAGGGAGTGGCTGGTGGTCTCAAAGCGCTGACCGTGAGGTTAGGAGCTAGACAACTAACCCACTACATCGCCGGGGCACCTCATCTACTGCTCGTCCCCTGCACGGGAGGAGGGCTTGGAAAACACCATCCCTGTGCCCTGACTTCACCCCAAGGGTTCCCCTGTAGTTGAGCGAGCGTAAAGCTCTTGGTGGCTCAAATGTTTGGGTGGATTTGAGGACCCTTGGTTGCCAAGTACCAAAGGATGACTGAGACTAAGTTCTGACACTGCGTGTGGTCAGGAAAATATTTTCATCAGAATTTCTCACCCCACAAAACTGTAGATTTGAGAACCAGTCATGTTAATTCTTACCCATCCTGCAAATTAAGACCCCTGAGACCTAGGAAGGTTAACTGTCCTGCTTCATCCAGCACTGGGAGTTCCTGGAGAGGGACTTTACATGCTAAAACTGAGCATGTCACGGGCAAACCAGAGTGAGCTGGACCCCCAACCGGGCGCTCAGACTGGGATGAGGTCAATTGAGGAATAAGCAGCTCCGGCAGGGAATCACTGCTGTTGCCTGGTCAAGGATGCTGTGGCCTGAAAGTTAAGTAGAGCCCTCTCAAGTGCCGACTGCTTCGGAGTCCCTTTGGAATCACCATCGAGGCACTTGGCTTCTTGCAAATGGTCACTGATTTGCCCTCAAAGGACTTTGTGAGCAGCAGCAGGTGTCTACCTAAGATGGGCACTGGAGAGAAGCAACGTAATAAGGGAGATTCCTTGGGAAGTGTGATGTTTGGGGAAGTCTAATTTACATGCAAGAATCCCAAGTCCGCGCACTCCCATTGCCAGAGAGGCATGCTTAGGATGGGTGAGCATTCATTGCAAACATGAGCCATTGATTCTGCTCTAACCAAGCCTGGTGAAGCCATTTCTCATGGTGATTCAGGCCACGGAACACACCCGGCTGGCACAAGCCAGTAAATGGACCGCTGAAAGACGAGGTCCTTTGACCTACCAGTTTGACACCTGCATACAGATGTTCAAAAGGATTCATCTGGAAATCTGGTGGCGTGGCTTCATGTGAGCAACTAGCTTTTCATGGAGTCCCCGTGGTCTAAGCTAGAGGAGCCATCTGACTGACCTGCGTTGTACCCGAGGGGAAACAAGGCCCGCGGAGGGAGACATGACTTGCCAATGACAGAACTGGGACTTTCCGTGCAGCATCTTTCCTAATTCGCTCCTTATAAGGAAGGCCCAGACTTAGTCTCATTCCCTGGGCATCAGATCTCAGTGGGTTTCTGGTCTACTCAGGTTAGAGCCAGGAATCCACTAAGTCCTTTATTTTTTTAAAGTCAGAATGCTAGAGAAAATTTGTAGTCAGTGTTTTTCGGATGGATGCAAAGAGAAGGTGAGGGCAAGTCTCAGACACCTTCACCCTGGACAGAGCTGACTCCGGAGTTTAGAAGACACATCCAGGGATAATTATGACCCGGGAGTGAAGAAGGCAGATGGATCGGGTGAGATTTAGGACCCGGAAGGGGCATTGTACAGAGGCTGGCACAGAGGAAGGAGGAAGGAAATGGTCTTAGAGAGATAGAAGAACACTGGGTTCTTCTTAGAGTTAGGAGCAAGTCAGCAAACATATTGTAAATACATGCCTTTACCTCAATTGTGTGCTAACCCAATGGTCAACTTCACCCCTGACCTTCACCTTCTGTTAGAACGATGACAGTACTGTCTGCCATTTACCAAGTGCCCTCAGTGGGATAGGCACAAGAGAAGTTGGAGGTGCCGACCAGTCAGTTGTGACCCAGAGCAGAACAAAATGCCGGGGCCTGGACCGTCCCCATAATTGTGCCTGGGCTGAAGCCCCCTGTTGCAGCCACTGTGTCAATTTACCTGGTTGAGGGCCATCCTCTCTGTCCCTGCCCCTCTGCTTTGCCAAGCAGGATGTCCTGCTCCAGGGACCGGTCTCCCCGGGCAATATGTCCAAAGTATGTAAGAAGAAACCTCTCCATCCTTGCCTCTGAGCAGCACTTGGGCTGCGCTTCCTCCGAGACAGATGTGTTTGTCCTCTTAGCAGCCCAGGGTATTCTCAGTCTTCTCGGCCAATACCATCACCGAAGCACATCAATGCAAGATGGAAACTCTCACTGTCTGCATTTTACAGATCAGGAAAGTGGGCTGGCCACCTGTGGATGAGCTTGGCCAAGGTGATGCAGCTGCCTGGTGGCAGAGGCGGTATCAAAGTCTGAGCCATCTTTGTTTAGGGAGTGAGGCCCCCGACCTTGACAAATGGCCTTCTCTAAAGGAGAACACAAAAACCAAGCCAGTCACTGTCAAGTGGACTCCGGTGGAAGGCGCCCCCGTGTCAGAATAGAACACTGCTCCACAGGGTTTTCATGTGGCTTGTTTCTTAGAAGTAGACCTCCAGGCCTTTCTTCCAAGTGCCCCTGGGTGAAAGTAACCTTTGGGCTATCTGCCGAGCAGGTTCATGTTTGTACCACTGGCTGCCTTTGCTGACTGTAAACCAGCTGTCCTCTGGCATCCGTGACACATTGCCCCAACCTGCTGTGACAAGTACCTAACTGCATCCTGAGCTTCCAGAGAGCCATGCTCCACGTCTACTGAATGTGCCCTTAAAGCCCGGTGCACCATCGGAAGCAGGAGAGATTAAGGAGCATGCTCTGGTTCCCTAAGGATGATGGAGACTGAGATGTGCCCCGGAACAGCTGCAGTGTGGATGTACTCTGAGCCTGTTCCTCTTTATTTGGTTACCCAGGTGTCCCTTTTCTGTGGCCTTGAATTTCCCTCACCCTATACAGGTGAATGATTCCTATCCAACAATTGAGTTGACAACATCACAGTAGCTGTATCAAGGGCCGGACCTCTTGTGGCTGCTTGAGCAGCAGCAGTGAGGAAGCCGAGCGGATAGGGTGCTTTCTCCCCATCCCCGTACTGCCCCCCTCACCTCAACCAGTTGCCAAGCAAGAGTTTGCACCTCTAGACTCCTCCTGGCACTTGGAATAAATGTCCTCTCCTCCTTATGGTAATTTCCTATCGTCCCATGCTCTCTGAAGAGAGAATGTATGTTTGATTCTGTTTGGTATCCCCAGTAGCTGGTAGCAGCAGGCACATTGTGCATGCGCAGTAAATACTGGATGGATGGATGGATGGATGGATGGATGGATGGATGGATGGATGGATGGATGGATGAGTAAGGAAATAAATCAGACTATTAGCCTGCCTAGAGATATTTTCTCCACTGGCAAATTATTGCTTTCGTATGACGTTAGCCAGACTGAGCCAGACAGCACCAAATGAATGTTTTCTCTTTAAAAAAAAAAAAAA